CTAGGATTCAAACTCCTAAAAATAGGATAGAATTTTAGGATTCAAACTCCTAAAAATAGGATAAAATTTTGCTAGGATTCAAACTCCTAAAAATAGGATAGAGTTATACTATTATTTAAATTCCTAAAGATAGGATCCACAAGCACTATAAATAGCCATTGTAACTCACCATTGTGACAGGATTTAGACACAAAACATAGAGGAAAGCACGGGAAGATACAAAGGCAAAGCTATTGTAAAGGATTCGAAAAGGAAATAAAAGGTAGCATTTTCTTTTTTCTTTCTTTTGCATGTGCACGTTATTTTTCTTGAAATTTGGTTCGAATAACCCAAAACGTGGGTTGCGCCGATGACCAAAATGGGTGGGGTTTCGATGTTTCGAACCTAGATCTACCCCGAGGCTTATTTTTAAAAACCGATTTGATTTTCGGTTAAAGGAGGGGAAGAGTTTTTTAAAAATCTATATTAGTCCCTTTATTTATTATATGGATATTTTATTCATTTTTTTTATTATTCATGTTATTATTATTATATGTATATATATATATATATTAAATTATTTTCATTTGATTTTTTTACTATATTTTATTATTATTATTATTATATATATTTCTTTAATATTTTACTTATAAGTCTAATATTACTATATATATATTATAATTATCTTTATCTAGTCGTATGCATTTTTTATACTTTTAATAGTTTATTTATATACATATTATTAAATATATATATTCTTAATTATTTTTATTTGATTATTTCTTTATTTATGTAATATATCTTATAACTTTATATATTTATATTATTTTTTATTATTTTTGTTTTTTTATTCATTATTATTATATTATTATTTTTTTTTAAAAAACCTTGTGTCTTTATCATTATTATTATTAAACATTATATTATATACTACTAACCTAGAGGGCCCAATTTTTGTCTTATTTCTTACTAAAGCCCCCACTTTCGGTGAATTGGGAGGGTAACTTTTCTATTTTTAAGTATTTGATGTACATATACAGCTTATTTATTTTATTAATACTTTGATATATATATATATATATATATATATATATTTATATTTCTTTTTCCTTTTTTCAAATATTACTATATATAATTATTACTTTACTATTTTTTTCTTATCTTACTTATTATTTTATTTATTTTATTTTTCCCTTGTATCTTATTTGTTTTCTTTACCTTGTTTATCTAACACATTTCTCGATTTTTTTTCAAATCAATCAAGGGTACGTAATTAGGATCGAAACTTTACCTTTTAATTTAACTTGTTATTTTTCTTAATTAAGACAACTGGAAATTACGTAGTACCGAAAGGGCGGTTCAAGGGTGCTAATCCTTCCTTGACCGTAACCGACTCCCGAGCCCGACATATTTCTGGTAAGATGCAGATCAGGTAAGAAATAGGGTATCCGATCAACCCATTTATTTTTAAATAAATGATCGGTGGCGACTCCAATCCACATTTTTCAAGTCGAAGCCCAATTCCGGGGCCCAACCAAAAGACGGTTGCGACACACTCAACCCGAACCCGACGGGTTCCGACTCGATCGGGTCAGATTTTTAAAAAAAAAATTAATGTTCGAGTCGGGTCAGGTCAGGTTCGGGTTTAGGGTGAAAAATATCCGACCCGAAAAAAATATATAATTTTACCTTATATATTTAGGAATAATTACAAGAATACCCCTGTATATATAATTTTTTCAATTAAGTCATTGTTTTTATTGAATAAAAATATTTTTTTTATTTCGGGTCGGGTGAAACATTGTTTTGGTCGAGTCGGGTCAGGTCTCGGGTGGAGGCTCCCTTGTTCTCGGGTCGGGTCGGGTGGACCAAAAACCCAACCCGACCCATGTCCATCCCTAATTTAAACAGATTTCGAGTTCGAATATTTGTATAAGCAGAAAATTTCTATTGCGAAATTCATCCATCAAAATTAAGTGTCCAATTTAAATCGATTCGAACAAAATAATAAGATATCTTAAAAAACGAGATGGCAACAAAAAAAATAACAAAAAGAAAGAAATCCATTCCATTTTTTTTTTTGTAAATTACTTCAAATACCACTCACCTTTAGGCTCGGGCTCGTTTATGCCATTAACGTTTTAATTTTGATAATTTTAACACTAACGTTTAAGTTTAATTGCAATATGTCACTCTGTCGTTAATGGATTAACGACACGATGACATGGCATCTCCGTGTCGTGACGTTGCTAACGTTGTTCTCTCATCAAAACGACGTCATTTTGGCATGACTGTGTTTGGTGCTAAAAACTCAAAACGACATATTTTTGTTTGAGAAAATTTAATAAAATTATGCTTTTGAGGGGATTTGAACTCAGGACCTTTTGTATCCAAAACAAGGCTTAATCACTACACCAACTTTAAGCTTTGATTTAATTTTACAAACATAATATACATAACATGAGTCAATATTTCAAAAGTTACTTTCTAAAAAACCATGAAATTATTAAAATTCTAAAAAAAACACCTTAAATTCCAGAAAATCTCAAAAAACTCCTAAGTTTCTAAAAATTTCAAAAAAAAAAACATAAACTCTAAATCGTAATCCCTAAAAATCATAAGATTCATTTTTAGGGAGTTTATTTCTAAAAAAACCCATGACATTATTAAAATTTCCAAAAATACCTTAAATTCTAGAAAATCTCAAAAAACTCCTAAATTCCAAAAAAATTCAAAAAAAATCATAAACTCTAAATCATAATCCCTAAAGTTCATAAGATTAATTTTTTTAGGGAGTTTATAATTTTTTGATAATCCCTAAATTCAATTTTAAAAAGTAAATCTTATGATTTTTATGATTTTTTTGGATTACGATTTAAAGTTTAAGACTTTTTTGTAATCCCTAAATTCATTCTAAAAAAAAGAATCTTGTGATTTTTAGGGATTACAATTTAGAGTTTATGATTTTTTTTAGATTTTTAGAAATTTAGGAGTTTTTTTAGATTTTCTGGAATTTAAGGTGCTTTTTGAAAATTTTAATAATTTCATGAGTTTTTTTTAAAAAAAAATTAGAATACTGATTCATGTTATGTATATTATGTTTGTAAAAATTTAGGCATGTAAACGAACCGAACACACACGAACGAATGTATGTTCATGTTCGTTCATTTAATAAATAAACGAACATAAATGAACAAATTTGTTTTTGTTCATGTTCGTTCATTAAGGAATATAGCTTGTTCATGTTCGTTCATTTAATAAATTAACGAACATAAACGATCACGAACATAAACGAACACGAACATAAACGTTGGAGACCCTACCTTTCATTGTTCTTTCATGAAAAATAGTCGACAATGCAAATCAACCAAATCTACAGTGATAAATAGCGTAAGAGCTTATTAGCAGTGATAAAATGTTTGAAGATATCAGATATTTCAATCGATCTTTTAAAGATATTAAATGATTCACATGACTTTAATTTAACATTATAACATTTATCTTAGAGGTTCATGATTACATATGAACAATCATTTCCCACTACGTTATTCTAATAAATTCGCCGGCTAAAAGTTTTCTGACATCAATGTCAGACTTTAGTGAGATTTGTTAATAATTGTCATTTCCATTGGCAGAGTAGAAAATTTAACAGCATGAAGATTCTGAACGGTACAAATTGGACTACAAGGCAATAACATATATCTGAAATCCCTCCGATGTTACATATCTAACTGATATTATTGTTAAACCGCTATTCAAAATTTTAACGTACCAAAAGTCTACTCCACAACTATAGGTCACACAAGAACTATGAAAACAAAAGTTCATTATCAAAGTGTATTTTCTACTTATTAATGGGTTCTTCCTGGAAAACTCATTACTTCTGCTATTACACTCTTTTTCAGAAATTGCATAGAAACCTTTGTTTTGTTTTTTTGACAAATTCTATATATTTTCTCTTTACTGATTCTCATATACTTCTGTTTGTTACCTTTATCTTCTCATCTATTTCTAAAAAGAAGTATGATGTTTTCTTGAGTTTTAGATGTGAAGATACCCACAATAACTTTACATATCAACTATTAAGCCAAATAAAACAAAGAAAGAGATGAAAACAGACCTGTAAAACTTCAGATTGCACTATAATATAACTTGTTTTGAAGCTTTCATTGATCGTATCCACTCTCCAGTGAACACTAGGGTTTGGGAAAAAAATGGGGAAATGAATATAGGTACAAGGTGCCTAAAGGGTTAACATATTAGATTTAATCTTCAAATAAAATTAGGTTAATTATGGAGTTGGTCATTAGAATATCTGATTAATTAATATTTTTAAGATAGTTACAAATTGCTCACCGAAATTGATTTAAGAAGATTGGGTTAAACATAAATTAACGAACATAACCGAACGAACATAATCGAACGTTCACGACCGTAAATGAACAAACGAGACCTATGTTCGTGTTCGTTCATTTAATTAAACGAACACAAAATCTTGTTCATGTTCGTTCATTTAATAAATAAACGCACATAAACGAACTTCCGCCGCACGATTCATGAACGGTTCGCTGAACGTTCAGTTCATTTACAGGCCTATATAAAATTAAATCAAAACTTTAAATTGGTGCAATGTTTAAACCTTCTTTTTTTATTCAAAAGATCCTAAGTTCAAATACCCTCAAAAACATAATTTTATTAAATTTTCTCTAACAAAATTACATCGTTTTGGGTTTTTTTAACAGTAAGTACAATTATGCCAAAAAACGTCGTTTTGGTGAGGAGACATGTCACCAACGTAACAACAAGGAGATGTCATGTCATCATACCGTTAATCTATGAACGGCGGAGTGACATAATTGTACTTAAACTTAAACATTAGTGTTAAAATTGTCAAAATTAAAACGTTAGTGGCATAAACGAGCCCAAACGTAAAGGTGAATTGTATTTGAATTAGTTTACCCTTTTTCTTTTTAACTTTTTTCCTTTCCCCTTTCTCTCTCTCACCAAAATTTCCTCTCATCTCTCTCTTTGCCTCCGATATGTGATCCCTCTCGATGCAACCTACCTTCTCACCTTTTGGATTCACCGGTGTAATCCCCGATTGCCGGAATCGGAAATAACCCGTCGGTAAGATTATCTTTTTTTATGTTTTTTACTCACTTCCCACCGGTGTAGGATTATGTTGTAGGACTGTAGTCGAAACGTCTGTGGGTCAGTGTATTGGGTCTTCGGTATCGTCTGGGGTTGTGGTCTTTAGTTGTTTGGACAGTGAGACCGTATGTGGTTTAGGAGCTGACAGTGTTTAGGGATTTGTTTAGGGGGAAGGTGGGTGTCTGATTGGGGGTGTTTGGAAGGACTTAAGTTCCGTTGTGAAGCTGGGGTGTATTCGGGTTGGTGTCTCGGTTGCTGGTCAGGGACTTCGGGTAACAGCTGGAGAGGTGGCCGGGAGGCTTAGAGAATGGTATTCACAGTGGAATCAACGCCACGGTCTTTTCCTTCCGGTTCCATTTTGTTTTGTTCTTTTGTTTTTTTAGTAGCTGTTCCCCCCGTTTTTTATTCACCGTAGCCAACTGTTTTTCTCCGTAGCTGTTGCTATCTTTTGTTGTAGCTAACGCCCACCCTTTTGTTCCAGATTCCCAATATCAAGCTGAAGATCATCCTCCAACATTGTCGTGCTCATATAGGATTTTGTGTGTAGTTGGTGGTTGAGAGATTTGAGGAACTCTACTTAACCGAGAATTGAGTTTGAACGAGTGAGGGAGAAGTGTTTGAGGGTTGACTGGGTTACTCGGTCTTCTACCCGGGTTTGGGTTGACCCGATTTTGGAGTTGACTTGATTTTTACATTTTATCATGCGAATTAGAGAGGCATTGTTTAGTTACAAAGGAATTTTATGTGAAGAAGCTTGTGAGACTAGTTGAGAAGTTTTCTAGGTCTCTTGAGAACATGATCTTTTTGAAAAGCATAAGGTGCAATGGAATGTTATTTGGACCATTCAATTCATTTTCACAAATGAGATGGAAAAAACCAGTTGTTTCAGCTCAGACTCGTCTGGAAACCAGAACGAAAGATTTAAAGCTAGACAAGCACATGACACATATTAACAAACTCAAAACCATCCTCCATATCCACCAGCTTATGTCCCAGCGAAAGCGTGGTCCCTTTGTCTCTGTGCAACTTATGTCACGGTGGAGAAACATTGTCGGTCTTAATGTGGGCATGGGTGCATTTCTTCACAAGTATCCGCATGTGTTTAAGTTATTTGAGCACCCCTTTAGGAGGAATTTATGCTGCAAGATAACTCAAAGAATGAGAAGTTTGATTGATGAGGAAGAAAATGTTGTCAAAGAACATGAAGCTGAATTGGTGCAAAGAATAAAGAAATTGCTCATGATGTCAAGAAATGGGACGCTTCATGTCCATGCTTTGAGGTTGATTAGGGGAGAGCTTGGTTTGCCTGAGGATTTTAGAGATTCTATTTTAAGAAGGTACTCAAAGGATTTCAGATTAGTTGATTTGGAAATTGTTGAACTGGTTGACAGAAATGAGAGTTTGGCCAAGGCTGAAGTTGAAAAATGGAGAGAACAAGAATATATAGATAAGTGGTTGAGTGAGTTTGAAACAAGTTATGCATTTCCCATCAATTTTCCGACAGGGTTTAAGATAGAGAGGTGTTATAGGGAGAAATTAAAGAACTGGCAGAGGCTTCCCTATTTGAAGCCTTATGAGAGCAAGGAGGTTCTCAAAGTTTCTACTTGTGGAGGGACTGAACGTTTCGAGAAGCGGGCAGTTGGGATTATTCACGAGCTCTTGTGCTTGACAGTAGAGAAGATGCTTGAAGTTGACAAATTGGCTCATTTTAGAAAGGATTATGCTATTGAAGTTAATGTGCGTGAACTGCTTTTGAAGCACCCTGGCATTTTCTATCTATGTACCAAGGGAAGTACTCAGACTGTTTTTCTTAGAGAAGCCTATTCCAAAGGGTGTTTAGCTATGTCAAATCCAATTTATGTTGTTCGAAGGAAAATGTTGGACCTTATCTTACTAGGGTGTCGAAATACTAGATCAATGGAAGATGTGGAAGAAATTAAGGAGGAAAGAAATGGTTCAGTTTTTAGAACAAATGGGGAAGGCAGAATAGATGGAGACTGGGTTATCCCAATTTTAGAAAGTTATGATCAAAATGCTTTTGGTAGTCTAGGTGAAAACCGTGAAATCAATGATTCTAAACAACCATTTGATGGACGTGGACGCGATGACTAGTTGATAACGATGCATTGCACCTTTATCTTTGCAACATATAGTCCCATTTTCTTAAGTAAATGGATCCTAGCTTGAATAGAGATGGTGGGGTGTTTAAAAATCATAATGTGCTTCAGAAGATAACTAAAAGCTTACATCAAGGCAGGGAGAAAATGGTAAATCTCTTGTTGCTTTCATTCTCTATTTTTCTTGTTGAATGTTGATTTAAGTCCTATATCTTTATTTTGTTCTACAAAATTGCCTTTCCAGTTAGAGCAGTTTGCTTAAACACATGTCAAACATCTTATTTTGCATAATTTTGCATAGCGGTGTAAACATGAGTTTTATTGTCTGACATGCAGCCTAGGTTTGTTCTGGCTACATTCCTTTGTTATCTGAAGAAAAAGTATGCAGAAAAATTATCACACGCAGAAGCTTAATTGGCTAATGTCCTGATTTTTCAAGTGGGTTTACTTGAATGATCCGAGCACGTGCAGCTTAAATTTAAGATTTTATTTTCTTTTGTAGGAAATAGCGTTGAACGCAGATTTTTGTATGAGCTTGTAGCTATGGTGGTTGCTAGAATTTTGATTTTGGACAACAGAGTTTTCAATAATACAAGATTGAGGAAGATTGCCTTTTATCCTGATGCACATTTCCATAGGTGAAGTCACCCTTTGAAAGAAAATAGAGCAAGAAAGAATTGTGATGTTCTTGCAACTACTGCCCCTGTAAGCTTAATCCCAGATCTCTATCTGACTGTCGAGCTTTGCAGGTGGCTTATTTACAATCTGCTGGTTGCTGCCACCCCTTGGATGCACGGGTGCTTTCTAGGTGGGATAAACCACCTTCTGGCTCTCTCAAGGTAAATGTTGATGGTTCTTGCTCCCACATCTTTATCTGCTGCAATGTGTGGAATTGTGGCTCGGGACAAAACAGGCTTGGTAGTTACTGGTCAAACCTGTTTGTGTCTGCCTACGATGACCCTGTTATCGTTGATGTCTTCACTGATGGTATTTGTCTAGCGTCCAAGCTTCCTTACCCTCATGCTATTGTTGAAAGCGACACATCTAATTTGGTCACTCAACTGGTTCATTGTCGGCAAGATTTTTCAGCGATCAGCTACCATCTTGTTGCAACAAAATAGCTTCTCGCGGCCAATCCATATCCGGGGGCTCTATGTCTGGCGCACAGCTAATACTACAACCCACGCTCGCTAGGCGGCATCTGCCAATACTACGTCTTGTACTTCTATTGTCCGGAGTCAAACCCGTTTCTGTCTGCCTACAATGACCCTGCTATCGTTGAAGCCCTCACTGTCACTGATGGCATTTTTCTAGCGTCCAAGCTTCCTTATCCGCACGCTATTGTTGAAAGCGACGCTTCTAATTTGGTCACTCAACTGTTTCATTGTCGCCAAGATTTTTCAGTGATCAGCTACCATCTTGTTGTAACAAAATAGCTTCTCGCGGCCAATCCATATCCGGGTGCTCTATGTCTGGCGCGCAGCTAATACTACAGCCCAGGCTCGCTGGGCGGCATCTGCCAATACTACGTCTTGTACTTCTATTGTCCGGAATATATTTCGGATTATGTACTACAGAATGCTATTTTTAGTTAATATATATTATGTCGTCTTCATTTAAAACAAAACTTATTTTGTCTTTAACATTTTTATTTTTTTTATTTTATGTACCATTATCTTATTGATCAAATAAAATTAATTAAAAATATTATTAAATTATTGATAATAAAAGGGAAAATGACTTGAAAATTTAAAAAAAGTACTACATCAACGTTGCGGAGTTGCGGTTAATCAGTATTCGACACTCAAGTCTGAATGAAATAACCTATTGTTGTATGTGAGATTGTCATTGCCATCACATCATGTGAAAAATTGTAAAACAAAGAGAACATGATATTTATTTCATAATATGAGACATGATAACTTTCCCAAATTACAAAAGCAGAACAGAATATTCTGCTATCCAACAACCAATTTCCCCACCATTTCTACGGCAAAATCCAATATCAACCTTCTACCAAAGTAAAGAAAACCCCGCACAAAATAATCAATAACTTTCCAATGAGCCAAACAACCGTTTAACTGCACAAAATAACCCTAGTCAACCCAAGAACCAGACAAGAAGCAGTGAAGAAAAACAAAGTAACAAAGTCCCTAGCAGACCATTTCCTCACAGCTTTAGCTTCCACCCTCAAACTCTTAGCCCTCCTAAGAGCATCTACCTCTTTCAACAAATCAAACTCCACCCCTTTCTTCTTCAACTCCTCCACACACTTCCCCAACAGTTTCCCATCCTCCTCCTCCCTTTCCAGCAGCTTCTCCAAGTGAACTTCCACATCGGTTTTATACCGAACAGCCCAAATTATCCCCATCGAACACAGCAAAGAACACAGAGATGGGATCCAAGACCTATGGCAGCCACCAACAGGAGCCTCCTTGGAAGAAGAGTTGAAGAGAAGGAGGAGAGAAATGGAGTGGAAGAGGAAGAAGAAGATGTAAAGCTGTGTGATCTCTTTACGGATCAAGTCGATCTGAGTCTCCTTGAACGATATTCTGTTGAGAATTAGTTCTTCTTCTTTCAGCCATTGTTTCAGAAGCAACCTGTGGGTGGGCGTTTCTGCGATTTGGTGAAGTGGGTGTGATTGTTTTGGTAACATGATTGATGGGTTTGAGCTTTGATTCTCCATGGATCCCTTCAAGAGAAAAAGAAAGAGAGAGATTAAGTGGAAATGAAGGAAAATTTAGAAGAAATGAGTAATTTGTCAGGGAGAAATGCTGGGTTTCTGAGTTTTTTTCTCTGGTTTTCTCTAACGGTAAAGAGAGTTTTTTTCAATTTAAATATTGACAACGGTCGAGTTAAGAATTTAAAATTTTTTTTATTTTGTATTTTCCAGGAATATCATTGGGCGGTGATTGGAACGTTTGAGCGTGTAACACTAAATAACGTCTAGTTTTAATCGCTGAGAACCTGAGATTCAAAATGTCCGAGTAAATTACAATATTGTCCTACAAACGTTACTTTACTTCTAAAAATATGGATTAGATGATAAAAACAACCCCCTCCCCCTCCAACAAAAAAAAAAACCAATCGACGTGGATAAAACGAATTATATATTTCTAAAAATAGAAATTGAAAAACAGATATTATTTAGTAAAATTATAGATATGATTTTGTAAGTATTTATTAGTTTATAATTTTTATAGACTCGGTTCATTAAATTTTAGAAAATCTACCATGAAACAAATGAATTTTAGTTAATAAATTTCATTGACTAGGTAAAATAATAATAATAATAGAACTATGGTGCTGCTCTTCTCGTGCATGCGGCTGATATATATGATCCAATCAATATTGGTGTCTATATATATAATACTATAGTTCCAAAGTTAAACAACAGGCGAAAGCAATTGCCAAAATACTGAAGAGGTCAGGCAGGCCTTGGAAACAAACAGACTAGGAGTCTTCTACTACCATCAGGTGTACCTTTTCTGCAATATCCAACGGATAGAACTATGGAAACAGCAGCAATTCCAGGTTGTCCAGTTTTGTTCTTTAACTATGTGATCGACCATCCGTGTTGAATTAGACAGATGAAACAGAAAAAAAGGGGGAAACCCTGTAGAAAAGTCATGAAAATTGGGGAGAATTTTGGTTAAACCCAAAGACTACTGAATCAAGTGGTTAATAGTACCTTCAAAACGGTGATTTTGGTTGAAACGTAGTCACTAGAAACGCTGAATGATATAGCATCATGTGCGCATGACAAACTCTACCGACTTTTCTCCTTGGTTTGATGAGGGTTAGACATTGAGACCGTAATTTTTTAAAATAGGGTAAACTATATGTTTGGTGCCTAAACTATCAGTTTTGTTTTGTTTTTGAACTTAACCTTCATTTGTTTCAAACTCATGCCTAATGTTTACTTTTTGTTTCGTTTTGGTACCTTGCCGTTAAAAACTTAGTGGAATGGTTACCACATGACACTTTTTATGGGAAAATTACATCATTGGTCACTCAACTATCTTCTCATTCCTCTTTTTGTCACTGGAGTTTATTTTTTTTAATTTTAATTACTTAACTTTCAAATTACTCCTAACTTAATCACTGAAATTTTCAATTTTATTTTTTTAATTATATATTAATAAAATTATAATAATAAATGTCATATCACAAAAATTATTAATAAAATAAATTAGAGTGATTAAAACATGAGCAATTTGAAAGTAGAGTAATTAAATTGAAATTTGAGCAATTAAATTGGAAATTTTTAAACTTTAGTGATCAAAATAGGAATGAAAAGATAGTTAAGTGGTGAATGATGTAATTTACTCATAAAATACCACGTGCAACATTTCCGTTAAGTTCTTAAAGACGGGGTATTAAAACGAAATAAAAAGTAAATATTAGGTATAATTTTAAAACAAATAAAAGTTTAAATACTAAAACGAAAGAAATTATATTTATTTACGTGCATTTATTTTTAAAGATGTTCATATGATTATGAATCAAGGATTAAAGTAACATATGACCACGAATCAAGGATTAAAGTTACCCATGAGGGGAAAAACACCAAGGATATATGGGAGTAATCCTTCCAACTAGGGATACAAATGAATCGAGTTTAAACGAATAACGTTATATTTATATTTGTGCGTTTATTTTTGAAGATGTTCATATTCAATTCGTATTCGTTTAAATTTTGAGTATCGTGTTTGTGTTCGTTTATTTATTTTTGAAGGTGTTCATATTCATTCATTTAGCATTCGTGAACATATTTGTTTAACGTTCACGAGCATGTTCATTTAATGTTCAATAACCATACACTCCATTTTTACTCTTTTATTTGCATTCCAAAGAAATATAATGAAATTACGTAACCAGTCCTTAAGCTTCTTGGGCTTCATAAATTGAACTCCAAAATTCAACATATAAACAATTTAGTCTTTATCTTCACCAATACTTTAAATGTAAAAAAATAAAAAGAAAATGAGAATCGAGGATGAGCTTATGAACGAGTCAATAAATGAGTTTGTTCGTGAACATAAATGAACTGAACACACATTTATTTATTAAATGAACATAAAAAATTTGTTCAAACTCATTTATTTAGCTTAATAACGATCATAAACGAATTTTATACAGACAATTAGTCAACGCTATGTTTCATTTACAGCTCTACTCTCAATCCAATTTGTTACATTCACAGATATTAAAATTCGAAACTTTGATCTTATTTAAGAGATCTAATATAATTGGTCGTTATTTTTTTCAAAATGAGAATTAAGATCTAATAATCAAAATATAATAAATTAATAATATAAGTGATGAAATATTTTTTTGAATGATGATTAAAATAAAATAAATCGAAAATATTAATTAACTAATATAATCGGTACTATTACAATATCGACAAAAGAAATAATCGGCAAAATCTGGCCAGAACCATATGTTGACAAAAGAGTACGTCGTTCAAGAAAATCCAGTTGATGGAGACGTTATATAAAAGGAATAAAAGTTTCATTTCCTTTTTTTTTATCCACCAAAATATAGACTTGGATAGTAATTAAGATTTAAGAATAAATGGATTGCTGATAGACACGCAACTATATTGGTGGATTTGTTGAACTAAACACTCCGCCTATTGTATCTTACCATTGCTCTATCCCTGATGTAAGCTTAATAATTCTCTCTTTTTTTTTGATAGGCCAATAATTATCTTTTTAATTTTATTTTTTTCGCTCCATTTTTTTATATCTTCTTTGATATCTGTAAAAAAGATTTAGGGTAAAGTATGCAAATGATCTGTCAATTATAAGATGTTATTTTGTTGAGTCTCTTTATTATTAAAAGTTACAAAACGGTCATTTGACTATTCATATATTTCAAATTCGTCATTTTCTATTTAAAATCATATTTTAATGATGTTTATTAGCATCGTCGTTGCTTTCAAGTACTAGCTCGACCACATAATGTTTTAAGCATTAATTCAACAACATAATGTAAACAAAGAATTGATCCACAAAATATAACTCAAATGGCTCTAGGATCAGATTTTATAATATCTCAATTTTAATAAATATGACAATTTTAAAACAAATAAAATAGTTGAGTGATCATTTTATAACTTTTAATAGTCGATAACTCAACAAAGTAACGTCTTATAGTCGGGAGACCATTTTGTATCTTTAGTTTTATTAAACAAAATAAATTAAGAGGAATATATATATATATATATATCAGTATGATGGATAAAAAATAAAGAAAATAAAACGAATTGTATTTTTACACTAATACTTGTTAAAGTTGACAAATATAAAGAAAATATAAATTTGTTATATTATATTATTTTGAAAGATCCCACTTAAGGTCATTTTTTCATGCTCAAATAATTACCAATTATATAATTTGATGAATTCATAAATTAGGTCCAATTTTTAGGTTCTATTCATCATTTTTATGAAATTATGGGGCATTGAAAGAACATAATATAATTTTTTAGTATAAAAAGATATTTTTTCTTTTCTCGCTCTCATAATTCTTCTCTTAATTTAGAATTTAACTAGTATTTGTTCAAAGATAATTCTTAACTATTTGGTATTGAACGCTCATACATATGACATTCATGGTATTCAAACCTGAGACATCAAAAAATAACATTCATTTATTTATTATTGAGGTCAGTTGATTCGTAAGAAACATGTCAAACTCTAAATACCATAAATCGTACCGGTGGATATATATATATATATATAAAACTGAAAGTAGACAATATATATCTTAAAATTTCATTTGCATGCTTACTCTAAAAATATTTATAAATCTATCGAGCAGTAATTTATTCTTAGCAATACTGTACTTGGAAACACTGTTAGAAATTTGTTAATTAGAGTATCAGAAATTTATAAATAGAAAAATAATTCGAGTAAGATAAAACATAAAATAAATTAGATACAATAAGTGAATTTAGTATTATTCAACTATTCTTTTATTTACGGATAAAAAAGTTTACTTAAATAAACATTACAAAATTTTAAATATTTGAATTTTCTATTATCTAAAAAATAATTTTTAATATTTTTATAATTATTTTTAAAAATTAATATCTATTAAAGTTAAAATTCAAATTTTAACATCAACGATCTAGTCTTTGATTTCAAGATTGGGATCTCTTTTGTTGAAAAATAAAATAAGAATCAACCTTTTACTTTACATGCAGTTTGACCAAAATGCTTAGGAAAACCTAAAAGTGTATTAACATAAATAATATTATTTTTTGATATAATCTGTTAATATTATTCAATTTCAGTAACGATGAATTCCAGGTGTTTCAGTAAAAAAAAATAAAGAAATATTTAATCTTGGGATAAAATAAAGCCGTCAAAAGGGAGGTTGAGAAAAGCAATCAGCACTCTCTCTATATATAAATATTTAAGGAATGACAACTTTCTTTACCCTTGACTTGAATTTCTCTCTCCACCTGCAGTATGCTTTGCCCCACGCCGCCACCTCATAAACAAACTCAAAATACACCCAATTACATCTTAATAAACTATTATAATTATTCTCCATTTAATCTTAACTTAATTAATATCATTATTATTCTACTATTTAGAACAAATTTCACAAGCAAGCAAGGATGGATAGAGGGAAAAAGGAATTTATATTATATTTTAGATATTTTTATATTTTCTATAAATAATTTTACTTAAACTTTTAAAATTTTATAAATTCATATTCATTTAAAATTATAGAAATTCATCCCTTAACATAGAATTATACATCTATCCCTATAAATAAGAGTCTAACATTATCATGTGCCATGTTTAGATTTTAGAATTATAGATTTTAAGATTTATATTTAAGAATTAACCTTTAGAATTTAAAGAATGTAATTTAGAGATATTTCAATATATCATGTAACAATAAATCAATAATATAACTCCATTTATAGAATAACTCTTTTATATAATTAGTGTATAAAATAATTAGTATGAAATTATAATAATTTACTTTGGATCCAAAAATAAATATGACTTCTCCTTTAACATAATCCTTAAAGAGGGTCTAAAACGTATTTAAACGTACAATAATTTTTATTTTTATTTTTGAGATTCAAATATTTTATTTTATTTTATTTAAATATTATATAAAAATACATTTATTATATTTGTACGTTTAAGATATTATTTTATACTATATAAAATTTAATATATTTATATATTTGTTTTTCTTTGATAATAAATATATTGTAATTTTCTTCTTATCATGAAACGTGTGTAATTAAAGTATTAAGAGAAATGATGCATTTGAAGAGCTAAGATGGTTAATTCTTATAAGAGTTAATATCAAAATAAGTGTCTAAACTATGCCTTAAAAACATTTAGTGCTTAAAGAATTTTTCTTTAAAAATAGGTGCTTAATATTTTCTCCGTTATCATTTTAGGTGCCAGACTTTGACTACCGTTAAAAATTTATGTTAAGTGATATGTGTCATATTTCTGGTAATTTTGAGAATTTTTATTTAAAATAAAAATATATTTTAAAAAAACTTATTTTTTTCAAATCTTCACAAAAAAATCCAAAACTTTTAAAACTTTAATTTTAATCACGTTGCCACCGCCAGCCACCACCAATGCCGTTTATCGGCCGAACACTCAACGATGTGTGATCGGCCAGCCAACCATGACCAAAATCCCCATACTTTTACAACCAATTGAACACCCAAAAATGGTGTAAATGAAAGATTTCATTTAGGGTTTTGAATGATTTATGTTTAGGAATTTATAGATTTAAGAAGATTTGTTGTTTGATCGGTCGTGAAAATATGGGGGTTTTCGTCATGAGTTGTTGGTCGGTCACACGTTGTTGGGTGTTCTGCTGATTGACGGCATTGGTGGCTGCTGGCAATGGCAAAGGGATTAAAATTAAAGTTTTAAAAGCTTTGGGTTTTTAAAGATTTGAAAAAATTTCTTTTTTTATTTTAAATAAAAATTCTCAAAATTAGCAGAACATGACATGTGTCACTCAACGAATATTTTTAACGGCGTTAACGCCCGAGCACCTAAATTGGTAACAAAGAAAACGTCAAACAATTATTTTTAACGAAAAATTCTTTTAACAAAAATATTTTTCGAAGCATAATTTGTATATTTATTTTTTATTAACCTTCATAGAATTTAATGTTTCTTAGTCAGACGGATAGTCTTTGTCTTGAATTTAGTGTTCGTATCTGTAGTTGATGAAAATTCTTTATATACGAGTCAAACAACTTAACGTCAGTTACAGTACTTTTAGGGTAATCCTCCTTGGCCTGCTTATTAAATTTAAGGGGGTGCATTTCCATCTAAAATCATGTTAAACATAGTTGTAAAATTTTCATCTTTAGTCCCTTAAAATTTTCAGGTTATAAAATTAAGACAATACAAAATTGTCTTTTGACCTCTCAAATTGATAATATTTTAGTTTAATCCTATTAATTTTAACCTTTCAAAAATTTATAATATAACTCTGACCTTTTAAAATAAATTCTTACCTCACCACTCAATAGATTTATATGTATGCAATTCTCAACTTAAAAACTAATTTGATTGATTCAAGGAGTGATACCTAAATATAGAAGTTCAAAATTTTAATGTTGTGAATGAAACAAACTAAATTAGAAATGTCGTTCTTGTAATGAATATTTGCGGTATTCATTCTAGACTAGTTCTCGAACGTGTTAAACATTTATTATTACATATTTTATTCTATTTATTTTTAAATAGGATTCGAACAAAACTAAATTTGAATCATAACATTTTAACCTAGCATAGTAATATGAGAACACTATTTGTTGAAAGGTGCCTATTTCTTTATGTCTTAACTAGCTAATAAAATTATGTGTAATCAATCCTGCGTGCATTCTGTAAAACTAGAAGGATTTGAGATTATCTTCACGTTACAAATTAAATAATATAATAATTTTTTAGGAAGAAAAGGAAACACCATGGAAAGAGCCTTCACTTAATAGCTAATAAAAGTCATTGGATTGGTATTTCTTGGACTTTAGATCAGCAATATTGACTCATGTACTACAACATATTTGTTTAATGCAATTCTATAAACGGACCTCGTGCTTCAAACATCTTCAAAATCATTACAAGTGTTCATAGATCAACTATCTTCCATGACCGGAAAGGATTTCAATTTCTATCGCGGATCCATTTTTAATTACATCGAGTTTGTCAAGACATAACAAATGTTATTATTATTAATTATAGTGAATATTAACAATAAAAAAAAGCAGCTCAAACTTATTTGAATCTATCGCAGCCACCATGTTTCCCGGTGGCTGGAATCGTCGAAAGAAGAATATTTGAAAAGAATGACTTCCATGCCGGAAACTAGTTGCCGAGGAGTTAAAGAACTGCGACAAATAGGGCAGGTCGAACGTCGGTATCCGACCCATCTGTCCAAGCAAACTTTATGGAAAAGATGGTCGCATCTCAACTCTCGAATCTCATCGTCTTCATCGATCTTGCATAAACAAATAGCACATTCGACAACTTCATCGTCATCACCCGAGTCATGCTTGCAGTTGTAGTTGAGGCTGCCGGGCTTGAAATCATTGCCGCCGACGGTTTCGGGTATTTGATAAGGGAACAAAGAGAAACCGAGGAAGAAATTCCAAGCCCAAGCCAGAGTGGAGACGATCGAAAGCAGGGAAAAGAAGTGCTTCCCTAACTTATCGATCTTCATCGTCGAATGCTCAAAAGCGAACATCGAAACAAACATATTTGGACTACCAACTCTCGACCGTAGGTCCTGGAAGATAAAGTAGAGAGCGCTTAACCTTCAAGGACGACGGGAGAGAGAGAGGGGTTGGGTTCCAAAGGCATGGAAATTGGGTTATTTATAGAGTATTGTGTTCAGAAATGGAAAGCGGTAATTTGGTGCTGAATCATACCATTCAAAAGGAAGACTTTTAATGCAGATTAGCAGACAAAGAAGATAGTATATTTTACTTTAAATATTATCTCCATGTGACTGATTTTTAATGTAAATTTTATTGACAGTCCAAAGTTTGATTATTTATTAAAAAAAAGGAAAAATGTGAGACAAGAAGTTAAAAGGGTTTACGTCACCAACATCAATGTGAAACTATCGAAATTTACATACTGCTTGAAGATTACAATTTACATTTTTTTTAATCATCAATTTTTGAAATTTCAAGTGAATAGTTTGTTTATTTAATATATATATATATATATATATATATGTATATATATGTATGTATGTATGTATGTATGTATGTATGTATGTATGTATGTATGTATGTATGTATGTATGTATGTATGTATGTATGTATGTATGTATGTATGTATATGTATATGTATGTATGTATGTATGTATGTATGTATGTATGTATGTATGTATGTATGTATGTATGTATGTATGTATGTATGGTTATAATGAATTATTCATGTGATTTGTAATGAAAATAACGTATTGTTATTCTTTTAATGAAATTTTATTGTATTTGAGTTAAATTATTTAACAATTTAATATTAATAATTAATATAAAAAACTTTAAAAATAATATTTTATAGAGTAATCATCTAAGAGATGGATCGAAGGAGTTGGATGGAGACAATCTCTTCCTAAAAATTTAAAATTATCATATATTTTGAATTTTTTTATGTTTTTTCTATTAAAAATCTCTTTATATCCTCTAAAATTTTATATGTTCATCTATTTCTGAAATTTTAAAAATTCATCCTCTAATATAATATCTTACGTCCTCTCCTTATCTTCTCATGAGGTTTTCATTATATTGAAGCAACCTTAAATTGGTATTTTATCCTCTTCTTTATAGGGTTTATTTTTTTATATAAATGTTTGAATCGTTCGTAAATTGTGGTAACGATAGATTTTTGAAGTTTGTTCAAAGTTGTTTAACTTGCAAATATGTGTTACAGAACATGAAGCTCATCAGTGATGGATCTTTAGTTTGAATCTTTCATCAACTCTTATCCATCACAGTGTAAAATATTATAGATTTTATAAATAGGTTTGTTTAGTAGTCTCATGTTTAATTCATCATCATCTATAAATCGAAGTATAATACACGCTCGAGCATATTTAAATCCATATTCTCTTGTATGGTATAATGACAATAGTGCTAATCGAGCTGAGTTTATTCAATTACTAGCAAACAATGATTTTTTATTATTTTATTTAAAGGTTATGTAAAAGTATAAAAAATTATAATAATATTAATTATCAATTTATCCAAATGTAAAAAAAATATGTAGATTCTCATACGCATTTGATCGATGCGAGTTGAGTGTCCTAAACGATGTCATTTTGAGATCTATAAAGTCTTCCCAAAATTATTTTACTTCAAGAGGTTTTATATAACATTTTCCTCAAGTTTTTTTTTCACTTTTCTTTTATATTCTTTTTTCATTTTTTTCCTTTATAAATTTTTTTCATTTTTTTCCTTTATAATTTTTTTTTCATTTTTTCCTTTCTCCTTCTAAAAATTCTATTTACCTTTTTTAGGAGTCTTCTCGGGTGTCGCTCCTTATGTTGTTGATCTGCACCGTCTAATGACCATTGTCTGTCATTGTCACTGGGAACAAAATTACCAAAATACACATGTCATTTCGTTTAGACATACTAAGTTTGGATCAGATATTGTTTTCATCCGAAAAAACTCTAAAATTCCATAAATACGGTCAGAAACCCTTTTGATTTCTTCATCTTCGATCTCCCAAATCCTTTGTTAGATCGAATTGAATTTGGGATATGTGATTCTTTCCATCGTAAAAAAATCCTTATTATTTGAATTTTTCAATGGACTCTCCAACCGTCGAAATAAAAAAAATACATAAATATAAGTTTTTTTTCTTATTTTTTATTTTCTCCAACTATTTTTTTACTATTGTTTCTTTTCATTGGATATTCGATCCTCTTGTTAATTTTCGGATAGTTCGGATCGGGTATCTGAATTTTTTTCCAAATTATCCGATCGGATACGGATCGATAAAAAACCATGTTCAGATTATTCGAAAACCCGAAAAAAATTTGGGCTATATTCGAAGACCAGAGGAGGTTTTTGCATAAGGCGTGAGCACGACTTATTCATCCTGAGCTATCGCAGAAGAAACCTGCAGTTAAGGCGTGAACATGCCTTACCAGTCTATACAACCCTAAATTGAGACTTGTTATATACATCACCATCGTCTATAAACTTCAAAACCTCTATTGTTTTTCTGGATTTCATGTATCCCACCTCTTCGTTTATAAACCACCAACCACACTATCATATTAAGCTAAACCATCTATCAGTAGTCATTATCTGTCTTAATCATCTTCTTAGATAAGCCCAAAACTTCAACAAACCATCACCGATAAGAATTACAAATGTTGGATAGACACCTAAACAAATCCATTCTTTGAGTTGTAAAAATATTATTGACACAACTTTCTCTGAGTTATTTAATCAGTCTCTTTGTTTGTTGTTGCACTTGTTTCTAATTATAATAAAGTTTTATCTACCTAAAATTAAAACATGATTGCATCTCTTTCCCCACACCAGCAACCAAAAAAACTTATACAAATCTAAGCAAATGATCCACGATGAGTAAAATATAGCTCAGTGTTTGGATCTTTACCTTTGCATTATCCCAATCCAGAAAAAGAAGATCAAATCTAAGTTTTATTGGTTTTGGGCTTTTTTTTAAAGATGTTTTCATTTTTTAATGCATAATTATACAAATTATAATGCATACATTATTCATAATTTTCAAAATCAGCATAATGTGTGAATGCACTTAAATTCAGAAGAATACCAAAATCGATAATTCAATATACATACATATAACGTGTTTCTTAAAAATCAAAATCAATATACGAATGCTCTTAGATTCAGCAGAATACCAAAATCAAAATAACAGAGTATTGACTATTGGCCTTGTATCTTGAACAGAACTAAGAGGATTAGATCTAAAAACCATAGTATTCACCTTACGACAAATTAAAGCGACCACAAACAATTTCGATGCAACAAACAAGATTGGGGAAGGTGGTTTTAGATCTGTGTATAAAAGGTGACATACAACTCTACTACCTGCAGAGGAGACCAGAGTAAAAAAGAGGAAGAAGGCGTACTTGAATGAGCTGGAAACCAGAGTTTGAAACTTAGAGAAAAAGAACTACCAGAATATCGGCGTAGTAACCAGAAAACAAAGCACGAGAGGTTTGAAAGAAAAAAATTGATTCATAAACTTATCCCTAATATTTGATTAAATTATAAGTTATATCTTATACAATATTAAGTTTTATAAATTAGTTTCTAAAATTATTCCTAAATTCATAATGGTCCAAAATTTAATGGATATTTAGTGGGCGGACGGATGTGGGGTAGGCGGATGCGGGGCACGCGGATGTGGGGTAGGCGAATGCGGGTTACGCAGATGTGGGGTGGATCCGAGGCATGTAAGGTCTCAAACCCATCACCAGCTCACTACCCTCGACGGGTACCACTTTCTAAATCCACACCCGCCCACTATCCACTAAAGTTATACCTATCACTGCCCCAATTGGAGCGAGTACGGTACGGAATCCACGAAATTGTACCCGTTTGTCATCCCTACAAACAAGCCATTTAATTAAACTCCTGTTACAAACAAATTATTCCATCATTAAAATTGAAACAAGCGTCATATGATATAATAATATTTTGAGGAAATAACTTCAGTGACCGAAAATGCCTTATAATATACGATTTTAACCAATTTTTTTTGGATTTGCGAAAATGACCAACAAATTCCCAACGCGAACTCCAATTTCGCAACTCAGTTTCCAAATTCGCAACACGAATATGTAAATCGCATTGCAATTTTCCAAATTCGCGTTGCGATTTCCAATTTCGCAACTTAGTTTCCAATTTCGCAACTCAGTTTCCAAATTCGCAACACTGAATTTCAAATTCGCAACTCGATTTCTGAATTCGCAACGTGAATTTTGTTTTCGCAACTCGATTTTCGAATTCGCAACACGAATTTTAATTTCGCAACACAAATGTTTTGGGTATATAACTACGCAGCAGCAACAATTCATAACCTAAATCCCTAAATCGTAACTCATTCCATCTCCATCTATCACTCTTTCTGGCGACATCAGTTCCTATATCCAACGACATCATTCCCCATCTCTAATTTTTTTTACATAATTTTATTTCTATATAATTCTTCAATTATTTCTCTCTCAAATTATACTCTATCAACTTAATAAAGATATGTTTTTCTCTAAGTTAGTGATGATATGTAGTTTATAGCTCGTTTTTTTAGTAAATTAATTTACAATTTATAGAATGAAATCATATAATGTTGATCATGTTTGGATAAATTTGTATTTTGGAGGGTCATGAGAGAATGTTCATGGTGTTTTACAATATATGCCTTTACCCATGAATCTTCAACTAAAACTGTTATTAAAAAAGTTAACTTGTGAAACTCTAATGTTACGTGTTGCAAAGAAATTGAATTTAGAGCCTCTAAGTGGATTTAGGCTATCTTATCAGAGAAAATGTAAAGTTTATTTGTTAACTAACAATGAAGATGTTGAACGATTCATTGTTTACATTAGTGTTTCGCAAGAAGATGGTGTTACATTGTATGTTGTTGAACCTAGAAGTAGTGAAGTTGGGTCAGTAGCGGGTAGTAATCAACTAAGTTCTTCAACCCCAGTTTATGGTGCTCACAATGTACAACGTTGTTATCAACCTTAAAATTTAATGGTTCCACCACAATTTCATCACCAAGAAAATTTTGTTTCATCACATTTCCAATACC